TATTTGTTATTTTTTATTTCCTCTTCATTCACCCATAATGAATTTGACAAGGTGCTATCAGTCTTGTTTTAAATATTTTGAATAGATTGCTCTATTCAAGCCCGTAACGAAGGGCTTTCGAAGGGTTCGAACAAACTCCTGTTTTAAAGAAATGCCTTTTTGAAAGTGTATGTAAAAATTTCTAGAGTGACATTTCTGGGCATCTAAGGAACAAGGTCATGAAAATTAATATTTTGTAACAACTGTCACTGGTGAAAAGTCCTAGTGTTGCGTTACGGCTCAGAAATAACTAACAGAAAAGAGATTACAACTTTTGTGTATTTACAAAAAGTATATATATAATTTATTTACAATGCGATTATTCTAAAAAGATAGAAATTAAACATATAAATGAGCTAGAGGATGGTGGTGGTGGTTAGAACCTGAAGCCGCAACTTAAGTACTTTACTTACAGATCAGAGAGGAACTGAAGCTGGACAAAATAACAGGGTTCCAGGTAATAAAGATGTCTTGAGTTGTCTGCCTCATCAAGCAAATTAAGTGGTTACTGGGACAATGTTCTGGGAAACAATAATTCTGATAGAATGGAGACCAATGATAATGGAGAACGTATGTTGAGATGGTGTAATGAACATAATATGAGAATACTCAACTCATGTTTCAGGAGTAAGAGAGTTCATAGAAAAACATGGAGACATAAAGCTACTGGAAGATGGAAGCGAATTGACTACATCTGCTCTAACAGGTGGATAGAAAGAATGGTGGCAGATTGCCGTGTACACATTGGTGCTTCACGTTTATTTGATACTGACCACCGGATGGTGATGATGAATATCAGATTCCCAGTATGCGCGAAGAGGAAAGAGGTGTTCAGTAAGCAGAGAAAAAAGAAAAGTCAGAAGGCAAAAACCGACTACTCAGCACTGGTGCTGTCTCTTATACACATCTGGTTAATAAATTAAGGTAATAAATAAGTGGTTTGGACCAACTGAAAGTAAATGTCCAGGATGCGAAACCACATTGAAGTCTTGGAGATACAAAATTCAGTTCATTTACCTTGCGTTAATTAAATACTGACCACGGGTAAAGGAACTTGTAGGTCATAGGACAATAGCATACTGTAGGATAATAATATTTATGAGCTTTACAAAGTAAAGCAAATTAAAAGGAAACAGTACTTTCCTAGAAAATGTAGAGTAAAACTTAAGGTCATAAAAATGTTAACTACAAATTATATAAAGAATTTAATTAAAAATAGGCAAGGATGTATCACCTAGAATAAATTAAAAAGGCGGCTGGTCTATAAGAAGTAATGAGTCTAAAATAGTATAATGTTGTTATTGGTTTTTATTTTTCTTTTTTCTTGCCAAATTTGGATTTTGCATGCATATTTCTCCATCAACCATTTTACATAATACAATTACTAAAATTCGCACTTTTCTGAAAAAATCGAACCCTCATTAACATATCCTGCTATTCATTTCAGGAGACATTCTAAACACATTAGTTCTTTTCAAAACTACAGCTTATGCGAAATACCATTAGTCAATAGGAAATACAAAGGATACTGGTTCTTTTTATTTCTATGGAAAATACAGAATCTACACAGATCAAATTCAGATACGGAACAGAAATAGAAAATATCTATACAGTATAAATATAATAATTTTGCTATTCTTCAGTGTTTGATTACTTTAATTAAAATGAGTTGTTAAAAAACCATAGCTTATTTCTGATGGTATTAAATTGAATTTGATAAAGCCCAAACTAACCTTAATTGTAGTCTATTTCAATAAACTCGCTAGTATATTTATGAGTTCATGTAGACATGCAGAATAAAAAAAATATATCGTTGAATTAACTGCCTAGGCTATAGTGAAAATACCAAAATAAATAGTGGAACGGAAAAAGAGTAATTCATAAAATAAAAACCCTACCAATTGAAAAGACTTCATTTAGGCCTAAGAATAGCTAATTTTTATTATATTTTCTACAACAGTGGTCAAATGTGAGCCTTCCAAAGTTAGTAATTTCCCTGTACTATTTCAACACAGTATTTTATGCCAACTGTCATGTGTTCTAAATATAAGAATAAATTTAATATTTCTTCATCAATTGATTGGGGTTCAAACAATTTTCAATCCAAATTTTTCAAATTGTGAAAGTAACAAAATGCTAGAATGTTTAACCAAATGTATTGATATTGTTTATGAGACAATTGATATTTAATGAATTCAAGTATGGAGTTCATGATATCTTTATATGATTATATTCAACAAAATAAATCAAAATACATTTCTACATTCAAATAATATTTATTTAGTTTACACCAATTACAGTTTATTTATATACCAACTCCAATGCTGTGGATTTCCAGACATTTTTCTAAGCATTTTGAATGCTATTATTTTCAATTTTCATTGATAAATTATGTACATATAAAATGGCAATTACCTGAAAATCTACAGCTAACAGTTTTTAATAATTATATAATATAGAGCAATTTATAAAACACATTTCTGTTTTTTATTTCAAACAATATTTTATATTGTTTTTAATACAAACACAATTTAATTGGTCAGCAGCATAGAAAATTGTTTAAATCTTAATTAAATTCAGGCTCAGGGAAGATTTCTTCCTTCATCACAAAATAACTACTGATGATTCAGTGACCCCCATATAATTTACAGTAAAAAAATATTCATTTTATTCTTGTCAAACATTTTAGTTGCTTTTTGCATGACAGTCTAGTCATGCTAAAACATTTTATATCCTAAATTGAATTATGTGACAAGAGTCTACTAATATTGAATATACTGTAAATAAATCTACAATATTTGCTTCAAATTATTAAAGTGTAGAATATTCCTAACCACAGTTAGAATAACATAGAATATTCAGTAGTAAGAAGTTGGTAAACTATGAGACAACACCTAGTATACTACTTAAATAACTTGTGTCACTTATCTAAAAAGCATATTTTAAATTATATCACTCATTCCTCTCATTTCTATTCCTCCATCCTTCCTTTATAATCTAAAAGTTCAATATTTATTTATTAACCAAATTCAGAAACCAATAAAATGTATGTCAATAATGTATCAACATTAATTAATTAAATAACAAATAATATATCACCATACACAATTTTATCTTTCACGCTCTTGTATTATACTTAACGCTAAAACGTGATTCTTTACACCTAAGATTACTTTATATCTAATTCACACATACAGCATTTCACCAAATATAACATGGATCACTGCATGTGAAAGCATTTCAATGTAACAATCTTGATAAATTCACTGACATTCAGAGCTTTATGGTAAAGACTGTAAGATGCTTTATATATTTAAATCAGTCTTTTCATTCTTTTTAAAAATCCCACAATCCAAAATTTAATAAATATACTGTAATATCAAGTCAATTATGACTAATGTGATGGCTTTGCTATGTTTTTTACATGTTGATAGAATAATAGTTTCAGTTGAGTTTTTGAAGAAAATGTAAAAAAAGATGTGTAGTAGTTTTTGTATTTGCTCTAATACTACTAGCCATATTTCACCCATGCTGGTAAGATAAAGCCTAAGCGAAAAATGAAGTCTAAACTAAACCTTTGTGAATGTTGAGGTAAAAGTACACCAGAAAAAAGATGTTATTGGCTTTTCCTGCATTAGCAGAAAAAGTCATTGTTTTTGTTTTTGTTTTATTTTTTTGTTCTATCCTGTTTTGTTTTCCTTTCTATCGTTTTCCTATGTTTTTGCACAGAGTTTTCTGACCAGCACTTTGGTCATCTTTCATGCTTAGATCTTCAAACTTTATCCAAACAAAGAACATCAAGATGTGTCATTCTACATATTTTGAATATTAATAAATGGGTAATTACACTTTCATATTAATACAATTTGCATTTCCTAAAGCATTTCAAAATAGCTACAGCTGTGTTTAAAAAATTACTGTGAAATGCATGATCAATTTTTGTCCTTAACTTATAACATAAAGATATGACAAACTAAAAATGTAATATTTCCACAGGCTCAGGTTCTTAGCGTAATGCTAAGAACTCTACTATCACTGCAGACATAGTCTGACATCAAGTTTGTTTTCATGTTTATTTTTTTACTTCATAATTTTCTTTAGTATGAGTTTACTATTTTTCTTGTATTTTTTACATTAAATAATTTTTTTAAGATTTTTTAAAATTTTAACAAATAACTACATTTTTATGATGTGACAAAGGCAACCATATATAATTTCAAACTTAAATAAATCCATCAAAATATGGTAAAACATTTTACTATAGTAAAGTGTGGAAGAGACAAGCGTCATCTGTCACTTTATAAAAAAACTTGAGAAAATGTAATACCATAAATCTTGAGAAATTAGTGCTAATTAAACAACCAACCTAACAAAATAGATGAAATTTGGTAGTAATACATACGAACAATTACGGTAATAGCAAACCAAATAGTAAAATACAACAAGGTCTTCACAAGTCCAAAGATCTTTTGATAAAAACAATAAGGAATTGTTTAGATTTAGCTATACATCTTGAGCATGTGCAGTTGCTACATATAAGGATTTAAATGTCATTTTATTACTACTTGAAATTACTTTAATTTAAAACCTTTTTAACAATTTTCTTACTTGTACAGTATAAATGGAATGGTTAAATCTAGAAGAACTGCTCTCCTACAAGATACAATATATATTGTATTGTATTGTACTGCTCTCCTACAAGATACAATATATATTGTATTGTATTGTACTGCTCTCCTACAAGATACAATATATATTGTATCTTGTAGGAGATACAATACAATACAATATATATTGTATCTCCTACAAGATACAATATATATTCCTTGTTTAAAATAAAAGTATTGAATTCACAATTAAAATATAATTTTTTTCTACAGTACTTTTAATATTTGGAAATTATGATTTGGTAGATCCAGGAAAACATGATTCTTTACACTGTGAATACTCATGATGGATTGGTATTATTTTTAAATGCTCATGATAGCTCAGGTCTGTTTATAACCGTTTGGCACTGCTTGTAATTGCTCTGGACCAGTTGCCTTGTTTAGTCAATTGGTTCAAAGTATTCAGATGCTGTTTGTTGTGTCAGGAATGTTGAACATGTGGAACCAGTACTTTCATGGGGTTGACTCCCAAGTGCCACCCTCTGAGGGTTAGTGAATGCAGGACATGGGTATATACGTCCGTGGTCACATCTCTCGCACGAGTGGCCATGTCTGCTACGACGCTGCTGACCTTCTGTTAACGGCCCAATTTCAGATGGATAAACCTATGGACATAAGAACAGAAGCGTTCTCTTAACAAATCATGTGGAATAATATGATGCTTTCATCATCACTGATCAAGGAGATTTCAGGTGCAAACACATGAATACATTAAACAACTGGATACACTGATCACCTTGATATGTTAAACACTGATACATTAAAATAGACATTTGTAATTCTCAGAATTTGTTACTTGGTTTATTTTCACCCTCTGTTAATTTATTAATTATAATTATAATGAACATACCATTTCCTGACATCTACTACACTTGCATGCTACATTGTGAACCGCTTTCCCTGTGAAGATGTTACCACAGCTGCAGCGATATGTTCCTTTACCATATTCATCAGCAACAGCGAGTGCATCATATCTGACTTTACATTTGAAGCATCTGTAAATAATAAACCATAACAGTCTTAAATTCTGTTAAAATTAATTTAAGATGATAAAAATTGTATACTATAATTATCTCCCCTCTTCAATAGTTAAATGCCAGCTCTTTTCAGTTGCAATACTTAATACAATAAATAACAATAATAAGTTTGATTTATCAAAAACCGAAAGGTCCACTGATTAATCTCAGATAATAAAGTATAATACATGCTCCAAGTATTGAAATACACGCCATCGTGTTGGGATTCAATATTTCGACATTAATTATGTCATCATTCCTGATGATGACATAATTAATGTCGAAATATTGAATCCCAATACGA